AATCCCCATTTCCATAAAAAAGAAAATAAGCAATGTCATAACACACACAAATGCTGTGGTAAAACTAACTGACTTGAGTCAATATTCTAAATCCATTGATGAAATAGAACAATTAATACAAGAAGAAAAGGACAAAACGACCACAAGGGATATAACCGATTTTCACACTTATATGTTTTATTTCATAATAATAATAGCATCGGGTATAATTATAATAAAATGTAAAAGAAAAATGAGTAATAATCGATCAGTAAATAGAGTTAGGCGACATTTAGTGTCACTACAGTCAGCTAGAGAAATGGACGAAGTAACACGTTTGTAAGTAAGATCACGTACACACACACTCTCAATTTCATGTTCCAATATTAAACACGTACCTTTCCTATTACTAAATAATATAATAATTAATAACCAATCGATGTTAGTATCTTGTCTTGTTCCAGATAAGACAATCACACGGAAAATCCAGATTACTTTTATTATACAACGCGTAAAAGACGTATAAAATACATAACAACAATGCCAGTACGGGAATTCATTCCTAGACGGGTATTATACCTAATGATGTTAGAATATTCGTTGAGGTACAACGATCACGTATACCAGTACACGATAAACAGTGATGGACCTACGTGTCTAAAAAACCATATGAGAATAGCCAATGAACATTTACCGGTACCTTATACTACAGCGGAAATGCATAGAATTATGGAAATAATTACTATGACTCTCCGATTAACAATTTTAGTACGCGAAATACACGCACCCACATGTCTGGATTTGGCAAATTTAATAATCGAATTAATACAAGCCGCCGAGGCAGCTGAATAAAACTAACATAAGGGATTACATTTTAATAGATAGTAATACTAATATCTCACAAATACAATTAATTATATATTTTTACAGTGACAACAAGTGAATAAATAATCTAGCAATTACTAATTAAAGAGTGAAAATACAATAGTGTAGACTATACCTATAACTGGGAAATCAGGGAGTCGATAAGATTCTACACATTTGAATGGACATACTCTAGTAAAGTAATTAAGCTTTCAAATAAAAGTTTTTCCCTTTATAAAAAAAAAAAAACAAACACATATAAGACCAATAGATTATAGGATGAATATATAAAATATGTAATAATTATAATGTCTAATTGTATAATTGTAATAGATTAAGTATTTTTAACCACAAATATGTAGCCACCATGTACTAACACTAGAATAAGAAGGAAAATGTAAAACAAAACAAAAAAAAAAAAATGTATTAATATCTAACAATTAATATGTGCTTAACCCAATGTATCACAATTTTATAATCAGATGTACTAGATTTCTAAATGTAACAAAGTATCACTACTTCATATAACAATGTATCACTATCTTATAACCAATGTATCATATATGTAAAATTGTTATAATACCGTAAAATGTTAAAGATTTATGTTTAAGCTTTTAAACATAAAGTCTTTTTTTTAGAAGGGAGGTGTTACGTACCTACGTATTTAGTAATTAAGTAATAACAATGTACGACGTAGCGCAGGTTTCTAATAGTACTCGACGATATAATTAATAAGGCAATTAGTATATTATAACACGTTAGGGACACTGTAAAAGTATCTCTCTAGGAAAGTCAACCATTCATACGAAGGATACGAATCGACCAGCATACCAAGTACGAGACCCGGACGCAGTCTCATGACCGAATTTGGCCATTGATACAACCACCCACTCCAAAGAACTCGATCATATAAATACCAGCCCGGGACAAGAGCTCGGCAGACGGTTAGGGATACTCAAGACACTTGGAGGCAGGTCGTAAAACCACTCACAGTCTTAGTATCATTTTGGAGGCAGGTCGTAACACCACTCAAAATCTTAGTAACAATTCAGAGTCAGGTCGTAACACCGCTCACCTCTCTACATAAGCTTTATACATTGTAATTTTGTACTTAAATAAATACTCATAATAACCAAGTGCATCAAGTATTCATTTCCGCGTTGATGTATATATCGACGTCAGTTGGGACGCAACACCAGCGATGCTTGGTATAATGCGACGGGCCCATGAGGTCTTTATGGTATGGGAGGGTGTGGTAAGTTGACGAACTTAAGGATTGATTAATATTTACATTATTAAATAATATTAGGAAAATCTTGAAATTGTTTATAAGCATTGTCTTAAATATGAAGAATAACCTGTAATAATTTCAAACTTTAATATTAAAAGGTTTATCACTTATAAATTTTACAAAAAAAAATTCTGAATTCGTCATCTTACCCCATACTTTTGGTAAGTTGACTGGTGTATATTATTACATAGATAAATCAATTAAATATAGAATAAATATTTTGTATATATAATCTATGATGATATTAATCATTTTATAGTAAATTACTCAAGGTAAATTATTGAATATTATTCTTAATTAAATTATATTTAAGGAATTTATTTATTTAATTTAATTTAAATGTTTCATACAAATTGTATACACAATGAAAGTTCAATTTCACAAAATAATACAAATTATTATTTGATTAAATAAAAATGATCAAACAAATTATTTAAATAATACAATAACCTTAATTCAAAATTCAAAATTAACAACTTAATTATTTAAACAGTTTAGAATTTATAGAAAAAAAAGTAAGATCTCAAACAAAACAACAAAAAATATCAATTTATATTTTTATTCATTATTTTGCAACAGCATTACATGATGAATTGGAACATTTAAATTCATCTATTGCCTTGTTTATTGTGTCACGCGACCATGAATTTTCTGTTTTTCTTTTGTAGTTCCTCACTATTGTAATCCTAATAAATTAGTTGTTCTAAAAAATAAAAATGTTATACTTTTATTTAATGAAAAGTTGTAAGTTGACGACATTGTCATCTTACCCGTGTCATCTTGCCCCACAAATTTTTTTTAAACGTTTTAATTACTCATCAAACATGCAGTTTATCATAATTATCATAAATATATTCAAAATATGGTAACATGCAGTTTCTAAAGTGTAAAATCGATCTAACCAAAAATGTTATCAAAATGTGGTTTGGGGAAGAAACATTGATAAAATATTTAATTCTTATCAAAATAACCTCGGGATCGAGAAATAAGTTGTTCGTAACATCATGAATGTAATCTGTTACTAATATCGATTGATATCATAATGTGTTAAGAATTATAATCAATTCGTCAACTTACCACACTCTCCCCTACCTTCCCATCACCTTTGCCATTCCGCGATTGTGGTCCTCCTTTCTTCTTTTTTGATCATGGTTCTGGTGGGATGAGAATCACCAGGCAGGGGGTCTTCGGACACCCTGGCCTTTATCCTAGCCCTTTCTCCAGCTATCAGGTCTACCGGCATACCTGATAGGACGAAAGTGGCTTCGTTGGAAACAGCTTTGTAAGCCCTTATGGTCCTCAGGGATGCCACTCTCTGAGGTCTCCTTCGGATGGTTCTTGCCTTAGCCATTGAACTTACAGCTTCCGACCAGACTAGGACGGCTTAGAGCAGTTGGCTCACTACCGATGCTAGAATTCGCTTCTTCCACTGACAGGATCCCCTGATGTTCGGCATTAGCCTTAAAAGGGCTATCACCGACGTGGACACCTTCTTTGCTACCGTCTTTGCGTGTTTCACAAAGGAAAGGCGCGTGTCAAAAATGACTCCAAGGTATCTTAAGTGTTTGCTCAGTTGGCTGTGAGTGTCACCTATGCTGAGCTGAGGAGGGTTGTAGGCCCACTTCTTTTTCAAGGTAGTAAAATAATATATTGTTGGATTATCCGTTTATCTTTATCTATAAAAATCAAATGATCGTACAGACCAGTTATCTTAATTGAAACTAGGGACCTTGAAAGGTAACCTATTTAAATAACTAAAAACATCGTACTGAGTATAGTTTGATCAGTTTCTATTTCTAACACAATATTTACCTCTCTTTCCTTCTAGAGTTATGACTGTTTAGCCAAAAAGGGTTATTCACATTTAACAGTCAATCACACACTTCAATTTTTACATCCTGACACAGGGGCTCATACAATCTTAAAGGGATGTGGCGCAACACGAAATAACCAAGTCCGATTCAGACACTGGTGGCGAAGACAATATCGAATTGTTGTAAATTCTTAACTTTATTATAATATATTGTTATTAAATTAATATTAAGTTTATTCTGTAATTATTCTTGATTATTTTTGATAAATTATGATTGCACCATCATTATAAGCAGGTTAGAATACGTAAGTATCAAAAACAGTGGCGGTTTTGGCAATAATTTTCTGAGGAGGCGATAAATAATTTCACTTAAGCGCCCCCATCAAACAGGAAATTAAATCTTGTTTAACATTAATAATTAATGATTACATATTATCATATTATAACTTATAATATAATTACTTTTAAATAATTGTTTTTATTTTTAATACAAATTTATAATCATTGCAATGCAGTTATTATAGTATTAGGGTGGTCAGGGGTGTGGAGGGCAAAGCACCCCACGGATCTGTGTACCATAAATTATTCCAGCACCCCCTAAATTCACACCCTATGTGCGCCTTACTTTACTGCGTTTTACCTTAACATAATATATAATAATGTATATTATAATGTATATATTGCCCACATAAAACATCCATTCATAAATACAAATACTTGCCATGTGCAATAATTTTCAAATACTTGGTAATTCAACACTTGTTAATAAAATCATAAATTGATTTAATTATTTTACTAGGTCAAGTATACCATATGACATAATATGCTACACACAGTTATTGATGTCAAATAATGTACACTGACTTGTGTGTAGTAATGTTTATTAAAATTTAAACACAATTAATTCAATAATTCACAAATAATTGAACACTGATGTTTTTATGGATTTCTTTATTAACAAAACTGATACAATTAACACATAATATTAAATTTAAATATTTGAAAAAATAAGAAATACAATAAAGATATAATATTGATTTTATTGAAAATGTCTTATTCTAATTGCCAATCATTTACTGACAGTGATCCAAGAAAAAGGAGTTTATTAAGGTTATCACCTGTTAACCTGTTACGACTATCAGTCATAACTTGACCTGCTTTAGAAAAAAAACGCTCCGAAGGTACAGAAGTAGCTACCATTCCTAAATAAGGATCTACAATTTTTTTTAAATGAGGATAAATGGGTCCATGAATATCCCAAAAACTTAAAACATTATCAGTTAATGGCACTGTCGGTTGGTTTAAGTAATGTTTAAGATCTGTAGGCATTTCGTTGACATTTAAGCTTGGTTCAGTTAAGGCTTTTTTTGACACTAACTGTTTATGTACTGCCCATAAGCTATCTGGGCCATCTTCAGAAGAACTTTCATTATGTGAACTGGTTTCACTGGAGTCTGTTCTAAGTTCTAAAATTTTTTTTTTAATTGCATTGATGGATTTTGAAGAAGCCACTGCACTATTGGAATGTAAGGTTTTAAAACGGGGATCACGAATTGTGGCTATGGAAAGAATTTTCACATACTCTACTCTACCAAATCTGGTTTGTAAATTGTTACTTAAATTCGAAGCAACAACACTATTCACTTCTACTGATTCAATTTTTTTTATCAAGCAATGCATCAATGGGATAATTTTACTACCTGTTATATATTTTTGTTCACATAATTCTTTAGTAGCAGCTTCGAAAGGTTTTAGTAGATGCATGATTTCTTTAGCAATAAACAGCTCAGAACCAGTTATCATGGTAGGACCTTTAGGGAACTTCACGATAATAGATGCTACATGGTCAGAACAATTAATAAACCTGTCTAACATATAATACACAGAATTCCACCTTGTTGAAACTGATTGCTTTAATTTAAATGCACAGACTTTATGCAGCTCGTCAGATGCAGATACACATTGCTTGAAAAATGTAACTAAATGTTTTACCTTATTTATTAAAGTAGCAATATTGTCAGTGTTGCCCAATGCGTTTTGTACTACAAGATTTATCGTATGTGCGAAGCATGGCAAATGTTTATCCTTACCAAAACACACGCTCACAGCGTTTTTAATATTAGCACCATTGTCAGTTACGACCAAAAAAATTTGACGTTTTTCAATACCCCATTCCTGAAGAGCACTGTCCAGCCACTTGGCAATATTTTCAGATGTATGACGCTCATCAAGTTCTAACACTCCAAGTACCACACTTTCTAAATTTAATTTGCAGAAACTTAGATAATGAACTGTAATACAGATAACTATATATAACAGATAACTTACATATAGATAACTTTTGGTATTGATAGTATCTGTCCATATGTCTGTAGTAAGTGTGATACTTTCCACCAGAGATAATTTATTTTTTATTTGACCCGATAATACATCGTACTTGGAACTAATAAGTTTAGTTATTGTCTTTCTTGATGGTGCTTTATACAATGGCAGAGCTTTTTTTATGAAGTAGTTGAAACCATCTTTTTCAGTGGAAGAAAGCGGCATGTTGTCTTTCACCAACATATAAATCAATGCATTTGTCATGGTTACATTTTTTGTGCCTCCACCTAAAAAAAAATTATTAAGATTTAAAAATAAAGTTAACATACATGTTTATTAAAAACTAGTTAATTTAGGCATACAAACATACATATTATATTATATTGTTTAGTTTTTAATATTGTTACCTATTATAGATCATGCAATTATAAGATAAAATAAAATACAAATGTTTTTTTAAATCCCTGAATACTTAAATATTGCCTCTTACTTGCATATGATCCGAATTCACTAATTGATTGATAGATTGTTGGTTGTATTAATTTTGAACTCGTGCTCGTTGACGATCTGCTTGCAGTAGTTAGATTTGATACCACAGACAATGTATCGTTCGTTTTTGATATCAACGAGTCATAATCAGAATGTAGGGAACATGAAGATTCTGGTCGAGACTGAGAAATAACTGTATCCAAGGTGGTTTGAGCACCAGACTGAAATTAAAAATTAATATCATATATTTTAAACATATGAAATGTCCATGTCATTATATTGACATATTTCAATAGTTAAATCATAATACTTACCACGGACTGAACAAATAGAGAATCGGCTTCATCGTCTTCAACTGAAGTGTAAACAATGGTGTTTGATTTAGAACATTTAGCATTTTTTGAGGTATTTAATGAGGGGTGCTTGCGCTTTAGGTGCTGCTTTAAGTTGGTTGTATTGCCACTAGTTCTTACGACAACATAACATAATTTACAACAACCACCCTTATGAGGCTTATCAACTTTCACAAAGTAATTCCACATGTTTGAAGTCGAAAACATTGTACTATTGTATAATACTATAATGTATTCACTACTTCTCTGAACTGAACCACTGCACAGGGCACACTCCACACCAGCCGCCATGGTACAACAGAAATACAGGCCGCTGGCCACCGATTCACAACGGTCTTCTCCTCGCTGTCACGTTGGAAATCTGGTACCGGACAATATTTATATTGTAAGACGGATCAGGTTTTCTCGTTAAACACCAACACACTGCCCCGAGACTTGGACGCCGGACGGTAACCCCGTAATACGGTGATTCAAGTAGTCTTACCCGGCAATTCCCTGTCATCCGCCACCGTCCGAGTGCGTCGTGAGACAGTATAGTGTACGTTTCTTCGCTGAGCCGCCAGTCGATCATTAACCGCCGTGCACACGTCATTGTCCGGGAAGATTTGCCGTCAACGTTCCGTCTGCCGTCCTATTGCCGCCGTCAGAGCTGAGCCAAATCATTGAGGGAGACCGTTATTGAGAACGGGCCACTTGCCATAAGTCGTATACGTCAGGAGGTTACCTCACCAGGAACCCCTGACCTCTATCCGCACCCACCGATCGTGGAAGCGGCCGCCGTTCGAGCCGAGCCGCCAAACCACACCAACTTCCGAACCACCACAGTGAGTTCAATGTACGATTCCCCCCCTTTTTATGTGTTATCCCCTAAATACACTATCTTCATTGTGAACTCGTAAGAGTATAATACATACCATATATTGACATACTGTACAAAATCAAATATTAATTAAAATGTATGTTAAAATATAATAAGTATTGAAATAAATGTTGAAAAATTATACAACAAGAACAGCGTTCAATATTTCATTACAGAGTTCACAAATTTTTATGATTTTTAATTTTAGATTCTGAGTGAAACCGTGAATGTATTGATTTTACAATGATGTGTTTTTTATTTTTATTTTTTTATTTTTGTGTCTGTCATCACCTTTTTGGACAGTAAAAATGCTTAGATTTTCTCCAACAGTATTTTTTCTGATAGGAAAGTGAATCTAGTTGGTACTTTGAGGGGTCAAAAGTAAAAATTTCCCAGTAGTTTTCAAAAGCGCCGTGAAAAACAAAAGGAAAATTATGGAAAATGGTAATTTTTACGCAAAATCTGTTTTCGAGAAAATCGATTTTGGTTTTTGATGTAACTCTAAAACAAATAACCGTAGTAGGTACTTGGTATGAAAGTTTGACTGAATGTTAATATTAGCATTTTCTATGCACCATACAATTTTAAAAATATTAAGATTCCATACAAGATTATCTACCTTCCCCCCAAAAAAATGTCTATAAGAAAGTCAAATTAAATTTTTATGAGCGTTTGAAGTTCAAATTTGTACAACATTGGATATTCACTCGATTTTTCATGTACCTAACGATTATCTTATTTTGTTGTAATTCAAAAACGAATAACCGTAGACACTTGAGATTTATATCATAAGTTTATTTTATCAATTCATATACTTGATTAAATTTGTCAAAATATTTTGATTTGTTTTGAACTGTTTACGAACAATTTCAGATTTCAATTTTTTTAGTTTTTTTTTCTATAAATGTTAATAAAATGTTATTTGTTGTGTAAAAATGGGTGAAAATTTAATAGAAGGCTCCTGGTTTATTGCTTAAATAGCAGTTGAAAAATATTAAAAATCCTTAGTCACTGTTATTTTTTATAAGCATTTAAAGTTTGAATTATGACAAAATACTTAAAAATCACAAAAGTTAGCAAATTATTTTGAGTTGAAAATTCATAAAATTTTTCTTTTTAAATCTAAGATTTGATAATGTAATACAAGATTCCTCATAGGTTTGTCTACTTTTATTAAAAAAAAAGTCTACAAGCAAATCAAATTAAATTTTTATGAGCGTTTGAAGTTCATATTTTTACAAGATTGGATATTCAATCGTATCGCATGTAGCGATTTTGTTATTTTGTTGTAATTCAAAAACAAATTACCGTAGATACTTGAGAATTAAAATATAAATAAAAATAAGAAAAAATATTTTGACTCTTTGTGAGCGGTTTACGGACATTGTCAGTTTTAAAGTTTTTTAGTTTTTTTTTTTATGAATATCAATAAAGTATTTTTTGTTGGTCCAAAAAGCGTGAAAATTTAATACAACGCTCCTGATATATTTTGACAATAGGATTTGAAAAATATTTAAAAAACATAGGCACAATTTTTTTTTATAATCATTTAAAGTTCAAATTTAGATGAAATTTATCTATCTTCGCTCAGAATCGTTTTTTTATACAATAATATTTTATCATTGAATTAAAATTTAATACCATCCATTATACAGTAACCCACTTGTAGCCTACTGTACAGCAGAGCGACACCCACTTGCCCACCTACCGTACAGAAGAGCGACATCCACTTGTCCACCTTTTTGAAATTGGTCAATTGTCATGTACTTAGCTTAACCTTTATGACACTGTACATATTATTTAATAGCGAGTATACATGTAGATATTATAATATATTGTTGGTAGTACATTAAAATTGTTATGATTAACAATATGTGATGATTGATTTGACAATTGTACTACTGGTGTATTCAACAATAGTATTTTCAAATTGATAAAACAATATTGTCGGCTCTATATCAACAAGAACATTGTCAAATCAACAAGGTTCATTGATTGAATCAACATTATTCCAAGCAGCAACAATATAATTGTCAAATTGATACAATAATCTTGTCGGCTCTATATCAACAAGATTATTTTCAATTCAACATAGCTTTTTATCAATATTATTGTGGTTTTTTTTCAGTGCATTATTACTGAAAAATGTATTAAAATTATTTTTCAAGGTTTTTTAACGTCACATCAAACAGAAGATGAAGAAGATTTAACATTATGTACTCCAACCAAAACTTATAATAAATATAAAACCAGTACTGAAGTAGAGTTAATATTTGCTAGTCCTAATTCAATTATATCTACACCACGAAAAGAAAAAATTTCCGATTTAATTGATATGAAATTAAAAAACTATGCTTCTAAATTTAAAATTCGAAATAATTTAAATAATCTTATAAATGCATATCAATTTCCATCCAGTAACTCTAGGACATTAGTAACTATGCAGCTAGAAAACAAACGCTGTACATGGACAACTGCAGAGAGGAATTTAGCTTTTACTTTTTTTTACAAATCCCCAACTGCATATAATTTTTTACGCCTACAAAAATTAATTTACCTGTTCCGTCAACCATAAGACGCTGGATCGGAGAATCAAAATTTTTACCTGGTTTCAATGGTTACTTTTTTGATCATGTTCAAAAAAAATTTGAGCACAAGAATTATAAAGAGAAGGCATGCAGCGTTGGTTTTGATGAAATGTGTATCAAAGAAGTTGCATATTATCTTTCTAATTCTGGCGTAAAAAAAGAAATTTTAAAAGATTTAATTGTTGACATTTTAAACAAACTATTTGATATTGGCTTATGCCCGAAACTCATAGTATGTGATCAAGGGACATCAAATCAAAGTGCTTTAAAATTGTTAAATGTTAATGAGACAAATCCGTTGTAGTATATGGTAGCAGTTTTGTTGACAGAGCAGATTCTTAGGTCAGAGTTCATTGCATTGTTGGAGATATACCAGGGTGCTCCAGTTATTATACGACAGCCAGTGCTCGAATTGGTAAATTGAAAGTATAGGAACCCAAATAGAAATTAAAAAAACAGCGTTCCAACTGAACATTTATTATTTAACACCAACTCGTGGGGGCCCCCCACACCCCCCTAATTGCTACCATCATATTTTAAAATAAATAGCTCCTGAAATATATAATTTTTGAGTAAATGTCAATATTTTTACACTTTTAGTCACTTCAAACTTTTAACTTTTTCCTAGTTTCATTAAATTAAATAAAACTAATATAACCTATAGCTATAGGTAGGAAATTCAATTAAAAAAATGTATAGGTTCATAAAAAAATAAAATATATCAATAAAACTAATACATATTATACAGGTACCTAATACATTTTTAATACCAAATATGTAGTAATAACTTTATCACAGTAAATTAACAACAAACTCAAGACCCAAATAATGTCCATAAAGACATGTAAGAAGCATCATCAATATCTTTATTTTGTCTTTTTGGGCAACACACTTCATCAGCAATTCTTTGTCTATTACTTATCCAAGTATACACATATGGACTTTTTATAAATAATTTTACAGGAGGTCCAACAC